CTATATGGGTGGCTGCCGTCTTTGGACTAGCCCACTGATGGGTGTGTACGCTGTCAGACTGGATCAACAGGCACCCTTGTCTTTGGACTTCTGGTTGTTTGGCTACTGGCATGAAACAGGGACGCAGAGGATAGGAGAAAAGAGGCCAGGATTTACATGCCGGGGACTCTCTTCCTGCTGGGTCATCACGGTTTACGGAGGGTCACATCTCTTTTCAGGCAGCCACTCTGTCCATTTGTCCTGTCCCATCCCACACTCCTTCAAGCCAAGATCCCAAACCCTGTTCACACCACTGTAATTCAGTCATTTAATAAACCATCCCTGGATTACCCAGCATTCCATCTTTTTCCTGCAGACTCCGGAGGGAGTCTGGGAGTCTGGAACCCTTTAAGGGCTTGTGTGGGTGAAGGGTTTTTTTTTTTTTTTTTTTTAAGATTTATTATTTATTTTTATTTATTTGAAAGAGTTACAGAGAGAGGTAGAGACAGAGAGAGAGAGGTCTTCCATCCAATGGTTCACTCCCCAGATGGCCGCAACTGCCGGAGCTTCACTGATCTGAAGCCAGGAGCCAGGAGCTTCTTCCAGGTCTCCCACACGGGTGCAGGGGCCCAGGACTTGGGCCATCTTCTGCTTTCCCAGGCCATAGCAGAGAGCTAGATCAGAAGAGGAGCATCTGGGACTAGAACCGGCGCCCATATGGGATGCGGGCGCTTCAGGCCAGGGTGTTAACCCGCTGCGCCACAGCGCTGGCCCGGGGGTGAAGGTTTTAGAGTCACTGATGGACACCCTGGTTTCTGTTTAGATTTTTAATTTGAAAGGCAGAGTTAGAGAGGGAGGGAGAGGTTTCCCATCCACTAGTTCACTCGCCCAGTGGCTGCAACAGCCAGAGTTGGGCTGATCTGAAGCCAGGAATGGGGAGCTTCTTCCAGGTCTTCCACGTGAGTACAGGGGTCCAAGGTCTTGGACCATTTTCCACTGCTTTCCCAGGCCATTAGCAGAGAGTGAGATCGGAAGTAGAGCAGCTGGGACTTGAAACGGCACCCATATGGGATGCTGGCGACTCAGGCAGCGGCTTTACCGGCTACGCCACAGTGCTGGCTCCTCCATTTAGATTGTAAGTTCCTCAAAGTCGAGAACTCCAGGGTGCCTTCTGCATCCTACAGGACACCTGTCTTGCCACACGTCATGGCCTGAGAAGTATTTGCAGTTCATTTTATTTTATTTATTTATTTTCTTTGACAGAGTTAGTGAGAGAGAAAGAGAGAGAGAGACAGAGACAGAGACAGAGACAGAGAGAAAGGTCTATCCTTTTCTGTTGGTTTACTCCCCAAGTGGCTGCTATGGCCGGCATGCTGCGCTGATCCGAAGCCAGGAGCCAGGTGCCTCCTCCTGGTCTCCCATGCGGGTGCAGGGCCCAAGGACCTGGGCCATCCTCCACTGCCCTCCCGGGCCACAGCAGAGAGCTGGACTGGAAGAGGAGCAACCGGGACAGAATCCGGCGCCCCGACTGGGACTAAAACCCTGTGTGCTGGCACCACAGGCGGAGGATTAGCCTATTGAGCCGCGGCGCTGGCCTGCAGTTCATTTTTATTGTCCAAGCCCTCCCCCTGGAGCAGTGCTGGTGTCTCTACCTGGGGTTTATACGTGTGTCCAGCTGTGAGGGGCTTCAGACTGGGAGCTTTCAAGGATCAGTCCAGGAGGGAAGCAATGCCTCTCCTGGTTCCATGCAGACTGGATTGTGACAGTCCAGTGAGAGCTGTTGGTCGAGATTGGCCATGTACCATGTGGCCCAGAAGGGCAAGTGCACCAGCACCTGGGGACCACACTCCCTCCTTCCTCCTAACTTCCTCTGCCTCCTTGCTCCCAGGCCTGGGGATCTATGTGCTGCAGACCTGATGTCCTTGTGTTATTAGATTTGCCGGTCACCCCTCCAGTGCGCTGGGGGACTAGAGGGCAGGAGCCGTTCACTGCCTTCAGAGCAGGGTTGCTTCAACTTTAATGAACATGCCAGTCACCTAGGGATCCTGTCAGATGACAGATTCTGATTCAACAGGTCTGGGTGAGGGCTGGAGGGTCTGCATTTCTAACAAGCTTGCAGTGTTGTTGCTGCTGTGGGGGCCGTATCTGAACAGCAAGGACTTGGAGCAGCACCGCCTGATACTGTGGCTGCCAGCTGCATGTGTTGGTTTAAGTTTCAACATCTTTTCTCTGATTTTTACCTCGTAGCCTCACCATCCCATCAGAGCTCACTGAGTTTCTAGTGACAGAAACACAACCTCACAGGTTTTAGGGGTAGGTATTTGGTGCATCAGTTAAGGTGCCACTTCCTATGCTGGCATCTGATATCGGAGTCCCTCGGTTTGAGCCCCTGCTCTGCTCCTGATCCAGCTCCCTGGAATGTGCACCCTGGGAGGCAGCAGGTGATGGCTCAAGTCCTTGAGTCCCTCCCTGCCACCCATGCAGGGATCCAGATTGATTCCTGGCTCCTGGGTTTGGTGTGGTCCAGCCCTGGCTGCTGCAGGCATCTGAGGCGTGAACGAGTGAAGTGAGCGATCTCTGCCTTCCAAATGCACACAACTTAATGAGGGTTTTAGCTTTCGTGAGAAAGAGAACTACAGGGGCTGATGTTGTGGCTTAGCGGGTTTAGTTGCCTCCCGTGATGTCAGCATGCCATCTGGGTGCTGGCTCATGTCCTGGCTTCTCCACTTCAGACTCAGCTTCCTGCTGCTGTACCTGTGAAGGCAGTGGAAGATGGCGCAAGTATTTGGGCCCCTGTCACCCACGTGGGAGACCCAGATGGAGGTCCTGGCTCTGGCATTGGCCTGGTCCAGTCCTAGCCATTGAGGCCATTTGGGGAGTGAACCAGTGGATGGAAGCCCTCTCTTTCTCTCTTTGTAGCTCTGTCTTTCAAATAAGTAAGTAAATCTTTTAAAAAGAGATAAATATATTGGTTTCCATGGACCTGTAAGGGAGCTGGTATTAGGAATAGCAGGTCTAGGGACTCAAATGATGTCATCATTGTTGAAATCACCACCACCATCATGGTTGCCATCATTATCAATATCATCTTTTATCCTTCTTTCATAGCTTCCTCTTCTTTGATTTCTTGGCATCATTCTCTCTACCTACAGACAGCCAAGGGGTTTGGCACTGGTGGCTCCAGGCTAATATCATACTCACCAACTAAATGGTAAAAGGCATCTCTTTCTTTTAGCATCGGACTGGTCCTGCTTGGGTCTTGTGCGTGGTACTGCACCTGTCTCTGTGTAGAGTGCTGGAGATCCCATGGGTCACTCTGTGGGAGGGAGGTGGCCCACCATGATGGGAAGTCCCCCAGTATCAGCTGAGTAGAAGGGAAGAGGAGTTGCCTTTAAGAAAGTGACAGGGATGCGAAGAGGTACAGCACAGAGAGAAGCGGTGGATGGTCGCTCCACCCTGTTCTCTTCACCTCACTGGGAACCCTGTCCATCTACTCCCCCTAAGAACGTCTCTTGGGGCCGGTGCTGTGGCACAGCGGGTTAACACCCTGGCCTGAAGTGCCAGCATCCCATATGGGCACCGGTTCTAGTCCCAGCTGCTCCTCTTCCAATATAGCTCTCTGCTATGGCCTGGGAAAACAGAAGATGGCCCAAGTCCAGGGGCCCCTGCACCCATGTCGGAGACCTGGAAGAAGCTCCTGGCTCCTGGCTTCGGATCGGCGCAGCTCCGGCAGTTGTGGCCATCTGGGGAGTGAACCATTGGATGGAAGACCTCTCTGTCTGTCTCTACCTTTCTCTGTAACTCTTTCAAATAAATAAAATAAATCTTTTTTTTTTTTAAAGAGAACTTCTCTCCTAATTCTTACCACTCTTTTAAAAAATTCTGATAGAGAGCTACATAGATAGCAGATGGATAGATGCAGATATAGGTAGATGGGTCTCATTTGTTAATTCGCTCCCCAAACGTCCACAGCGGCAGTTGTTGTCGTGGGGTTGGAGCCAGGATTCCAAGCCAGGTCCCCACGTGGGTGGCAGGGACTCCAGTATTTGAACTCCCACTGCTGCCTCTCCGAGTTACTACTGTGGAAAGCTGAAGTCAGTACTGATGCGGAATGCCGTCATCGTAACCGTGAGGCCAAACGCCCACTTCCTCTCCTCTTCCCTCGCTCTCGGTGGAGACAGCTTGACATTCTGCCGGATGGCTGAGGGCGCCACCGCCATCTTCCTGGTGTATTTTCATCCCGACCAATTCTTGGGCCTTTTTTTCTGGCTTCTTCAGGGGTTTGATAGTGTCTCACGCTGCCTTGCTTGGAGAATTCATGCCAGTCGCTGCCGAGTGGCACGAGGGGGAGGCGGTCGCCTGCTGCGGGGCAAGCACTGGAGATGTGGCTTAATGGGCTGGAAGGACCGGACCGCGTGGGGTGCTGGGGTCCACGGAGGTCCGGGTGCTGGGAGCACGGGCGGGGAAACCAGCGCAGGCGAGAAGTCAGCCACAGTCATCGTGAACATTTTTAAATAACAGAAGGGCAGACTCGGAGGGAGTCCTGGGCTCCTGGCATCCGCGTGGCCTAGCCCTGGCTGGTGGACATCTGGGGGGAATGAACCAGCAATGGAAGATTCTGTCTGCCTTTCAAATGAAGTGAGAATAAACACCACCTTAGAGAAATGGCAGTTCTGGTCACCAGCAGCTGGGGTGGGGTGGGGTCACTTACCTGAGGTTGCAGAGCGCGAGCCAGGCCACCGCGGGTCTTCTCACACCTGCTCCCACGTTCTTCTGCACAGTGTTTAAGGATCGTCTAGTGTGAAGACCCTGGAGAAGGGGCCCGGACGTCCCCTCTTGGTGTCAGAGAGAGGCTGCAGCTCCCTGTGGCAGCAGCCTGCGTTGAAGTCCAGCTGACAAGGCTGGATCCCCCCAAGGATGGAAACAAGAACGATGGCCACAGGTTGGAACAGGACGTGGCCGAGCAGATCTCAGGCCAAACCCTCGGGAGCCAGTCAGCCGGGAAAGACGAGGAGCCGAGGAGCAGGTTATAAAAACGTTTAGTCTTTGCTTTATTGAGTTACAACAAATGAGCAACAAGTTAGAAAAATTGGTTTTATTCAAACTCCCTATTATTTTATTTGTGCAGTGTACTCAAATGGGGGGCAGTGGGGGACGGGAAGGGATTGCAGACATAATTCATATTGCAACATTTACACCTTCTTTAAAAGTTAGGACTAAACTGGGAAAAAAAAGTGCACTCAGGTATCTAAAATTGGCCCAAAAACAAACACACAAACAAATCAGTTCATGGTGAGGCTTCAAGCTGAAATCTCATCAAATACCACACCGAGAAAGGCAGTTAAGAAGAGAAATGAAAACTGAAGTTGTTCATCTTTGTACCATCTAGATAGGAAGATGTTTTCGTTGTTTGTTTTAACCTCATAACAGCTATGGTAATGCTAACAAATGCAGGAGCCCCTTAGGCTGGTATTTAAACAGAAGCTCTGGGGGGGACTGCCCCCTGCTCCCCAGTTCTCCTGGTGCTGGCTGGGGCTGGCAACGTGAGGCCAAGCAGTCGGGCAGTGGGACCCAGCTCCTGGCAGTGCAGAAAGCCCGGCATGGGGCTAAGGCAAGGGCACCCGAGGTGGCCAGCGGGAGAACTGGAAACGGATCTGATCTGGAAGATCTGCCATTTGTAAACCGGCTCCTGGTGAGCCAGAGGCCTGAACCTCAGCCCTTCCCACTGAGAAATCTCCCAAGTTTCAAGCTACCTTTAAAAATAGATTCTCCCTACTTACAATCCAGTAGATACAATGGCACTAATACTAATACTCCCTCCCCCGTATTAGTAACATAAAAATACAAAAGAAAAAGAGAAAAGCTTGGTGGTTAGCCCTCCCTCCTGGAAAAAAAAAACAAACCTTCCAAGGTAGTGCTGGGAAAGGAAGTTGCCCTCCATTAAAAAGGTAACAAAATTCCCACATTGTACAAATCGGTTCCAGTAGAGCAAGAGGTGGGGGCTGGGCAGGGGAGCGACGCTGTCCAGGGACCCATTGAAAACGCAGTAGTAGGACTTTGGCACTGTGAACAGTTCCCACGGGGCCTCTGGGAGGTGCCTGCAGCAGAGCTGGGTTCCTGCACCTCCAGGCACTCAGCTCAGTTGGTGTCCCCGGCGAGGGCGGCCCCTGGCTGGGAGGGGACTTCTCTCTTCAGAGTCACCAGTGGGGCAGTTCCGACACGTCCTGGAAGGACAACATGAAAGCAGAGAAGAGCTGTCAGGGAGAGGGTGGGAAGGGTCAGGTCTGCCTCTTCCTAGCTATCCTGGCAGCGGTACTGGGGCGAGGGGTGGCGGCTGGCGGGGCCGGGGGGAGTCCTCGCAAAGCCACCCTACTGGGCTCGGAGGAGAGACAGATGGCCTTCCAGTGTGGGGCCTGTCCTGGACAGGAGCGTATTTGCTGAGCGCAGTCTGATATTAGGGGAATTGGCTCCGCAATCAGGCTTTTGCAAACGGGATGCTGACATTTCTGGGCAAGCGGAAGTGGGGGCCTGGCATTCTTTTCATCACAAGACCCTTTTCTCTTTCCTAGAGAGGCAGCCTGTCACAGCGGCTCCTAAAAGGCCCTGGAGTGGGACAAACCTGGATCGCGGCCCCGGCTTTCCATTTAGCGGCTGTGGGCTTTCCTGTGTGACTGTTTCTCTAGGGCTTAGCTCTCACCCTGTAAAACGGGGACTATGCCAGCACCCATCATTTCCGGTGGCTGTGATGACTAAATGAGCCGACCCCGGCACCTAGAATAGTGCCTGGCACAGGGGAAGCATTCGGCCTGCTTGCATTGCTTCTTATAGAACCTTTCCAACAAGGTCCTTGGACTACTTCCATTACTTCCAAGTAGGTAAGAATTAAATATTTTTTTTAACACTGACTCTTAATACATACATAGGTCACACATAGTAAAATTTAATGCCTACATCAACTCTAAGAGATGTAGAATTATTGTTACTATTATTCTCATTTTACAGGCAAGGACACTGAACAGAGAGAGGCCAATTAATCTACCCAAGGTCACACAGTCAGTAGGTGGCAGAGCTGGGATTCAAGCCCAGGCAGTCAGTAGAGGCTGCTCCTAGCCCACAGTACCTATTATGAGTTGGTATAGGGAAAAAGGTTAATTCTTACGTACTTGGGAGTAATAGAAGTAGCCCAGGGACCTTGTTGTGGGTTGAATGGTGTCTCCCTCCAAAGTACATCCTCAAGTCCTAACCCTACTTGGAAATACCTTTACAGACAGATACTGCCACCGCTCTAATGAAAACAGGAAAATTAGACATGAAGACAGACAGACACAGGCAAAGAGAACACGGAGACAGGGCCAGGGATCAGGGTGACGCTCCTGTAAGCCAAGGGAGGCCAAGGATGGCTCACAGATCGCCAGGAGCCTGGCATGGAGCAGACACTCCCCACAGCCAACCTGGCCCATGCCAGACTTCATCTCCTGAGCTGCAAGAGAACAAATTCCTGTTGTTTGATCCACCCACCTCGCGGTACCTTCTGGAAGCGCTGGGAAAACTAGATCTCCGTGACCCCTTCTGTTGTTGGCTGCCAGGTTCTAGGGACTCTGAGAAAGGACCCCCAGTGGGAGGTTCAGGGCTCAGGACACAGCCAGTCTCCATTAGGAGCTCCTAACCCTAACCCTAACCCCAACCCCAACCCCAACCCCAACCCCAACCCCAACCCCAACCCTAACCCTAACCTGTGACAGGCTAGAAGTGATGGACAACGTCACTTCCCAAGTCCCTGGCTCTTGGCTGTCCTCCTGGCAAGGCTGTTGGCCACTTCAGGGGCCGAAAAAGCCCCAGGAAGTGTTCCGTGTGCAGGAGACCAAGGGCAGGAAGAGCAGCTGGAGGCAGCAGCCGATTGTCATTGGCTCCTAGCGGCTGCATGGTAAACACACCCACATTCCCGGGAGTAAGCCTGGGTGCTGGGGTGAACACGTACAGGAGAATCCTGGGGGTGCATGCACATTTCAGGGGCGTCCTTGGAGTGATCAAAGTCATCAGCCCTCAGAGCAACAGGGGTCCTTTGAGCCGATGCTGCCCACATCACTTCTGGCACAAATGGACCGGAGGCTCGGGGAGAGAAAACCGTCTCCCCAGCCACATGACTGCTCAGTGGCACCATAAAAACAAAACAAGCCAGCCATGATCATCAGGATCATGACAGCGACAGCAGCTAATGCTTCTCCCACACGTGACACGCGTCAGGCTGCAGCTCTTATTAACATGGCCCAGCTCTTTCACTCCTCACTGCGACCTGGCAGGCAGGCGGCTACCGGGCCCGCTTGACAGTGACAGAGCAGAGGGCTTGGAGAGACTAAGGCTGCGTTTAGTGCAAGGGACTGGAAAGTGCTGGGTTCCAGAGCCCACCTTGGCCAGTCCAGCTCCAGACCCTGTGGTCTTGGTCACGCATGGGGCCCCCTGGCGATGGGAAAGTGTGCATCTGATTCAAAGGCTGGGGCACCCCAGTCAGACCCCATCCTCATTGCTGTTCTCAGACAAGCTTCCCACATCCCCTGGCTGGGCACAGCCAGCCTCCTCCCCCTCTCCTCAAAGGGACAGGGTCGTCCTCAGCAAATGGGCTCCTTCACTGCCTCGGGGAGGGAGGCTGCTGTCCGCTGGATTCCCCCTGAAGGCTCTCCAGGCCAGGAATCCAGACCCAGGGTGGGCAGATCACCCCCACGTCTCCTCCCGTGCAGCACAGCGGAGCCATGGGAAAGCAGGACTCAGCGTCCACGGCTTCCTGGGTATGTGCCTAGGTCAGTTCTATAACTGCCCTGGGCCTCACTGCTTCTCCTTTGATATGAACTCATATTGTTTCCTTAAAAAAAAAAAAAAAAACAACTTATTTTTATCTGCTTGAAAGGTAGAGTGAGAGCGAGCGAGTGAAAGAAAGAGATCTTCCATCCACTGGTTCACTCCCCAAATGCCCACCACAGCCAGGGCTAGTCCAGGCTGAAGCCAGGAACCAGGAGCTCCATCTGGGTTTCCCATATGTGGGGGCAAGAACCCAAGCACCTGAGCCATCATGTGCTGCCTCCCACGTGCAACAGCAGGCAGCTAGGTCAGAAGTGGAGCAGTCAGGATTCAAACCAGCGCTCCGATGTGGGATGTAGCACCCCCAGTGGTGGTTTAAACCTGCTGCACCACAACGCCCACCCCTGAGCCTCCCTCTGTCATACAGGACCGCCAGGCGCGCCAGGCACACAAATCCTCCCACATACCAGGGGCTCAAGGAATACTGCTTTGTTTTCCCCAAGGAAGGCTGGGTATAAAACGGGGCCTTTAGTGTAGTGAGTTACCCGTGTGAATGAGTGGACCCATTTTTTCCCCTTTCTCTCATGTATGAAACTGAATGGTGCCTCTTCAAGGGACAGACAAGTGCTTGCCTTTTAGATGCACCTTGATGTTAAGGTGGTTCCTCGCCCAGCAGTGTTTTTATGGTTCCTTGTGCAATTTTTTTAAGGACGCAAACTTGCATAATCCTCCAACCATATGTAGTAAGAATTTAAAAAATCCCCAAACAAGATCCTCAGAACACACACACACACACACACACACACACACACACACAGAGAGAGAGAGAGAGAGAGAGAGAGAGAGGGAGGGAGGGAGAGAGAGAGAGATTGCAAGGCCAAAAGGATGACCTGGAGAAAAGGGAGAGAGAAGGCCAAGTTTTTCCCCTTGGCTCTTGCAGAAACCCCAGATGTGTGTGGATGGCTCTGGGCCCTGGAAGCACGCTCAGGCCCACTTGGGCTTTAATTTCCCTTTGACCTTTCCCAGGACATGTGGCAGCGGGCAGGCCCAGGCTGTGAGGCTGGGAAGATACAAGAGCCCGAAGGCAGGGGCCTGATCCCTCTCGCGGGGTGTCTGCTCGTGGCCCCAGCCCAGGGTCCGGTCAGGTTGGAGCTGAAGTGAAGAAGGGGATCCGTGGGCACGTTTAGTCTTGTCTCTTGGGCAATAAGTGGGTCCCGCAGGTCCCTGCCTATGCAGCCGGCGCTCCTGGCTCTACTTGTGTTCACACAGGAGGAAGCAGTACAGGACAGACAAGCCCTGACCCTCCTAGTTCTCCTCGCCCCCAGCAGTGGACATTCGGCCCTGAATGTGTTTCCATCCCAGGCTCCTGGGCACAGGTCCTGGCAGCTTGGCCAGGGCTGTGCTCCCACACCACGGTGTGACATATCATGCTCCCCTACTAAAACCGTTCGCCAGCTGCCCGCCAGCTGCCTGGGGACCAGGCCCCAGGGCCCCTGCAGCTCCAGGCCCTGCAGGATCCAGCTCTGGGCTTGCCCAGGAAAGCCTCTGCTCCCACCTTGCCTGGGTAGGCATTCCCACCCTGGAGCTTGTCGGCACGGCTGTCATCACGCCAACTTCAGATGGCCCAGTTAACTGTCCGTGGATGGCAGGCCCATGAGGACTTGGACAGTGTGTGTCGCGTTCACTGCTGATCTCGCCAGCCCTCCCTGCAGTGTCTGCTCATAAGCATTCATTAATGAATGAGAAACAGGAACGGAGCACGGTGCTGTCAGAGTGGAGTCCACATCTCAGTGTGGCCTTGTCTTTTAGGGACTATGGCTGGGCGTGGACTTCACAGCTATTGCCGCCCACCCCATCCCCTGCCACGGGGCTTCAATCTGCCTGGTCACAGACATTCACGCTGCAGAGGCCCAAGGCCCTGAGGGGTCAGTCACCTGGTCCCACAGTACCCAAGCTCAGTCCTGGAGACCTGCAAGGCCTTGTGGCCCCTAGGGGATGTTTCTTCCAGACACATGGCTAGATGTCCCTACTCTCTAATGGGGGTTCCCTCCCGGGACAGCAAAGCCACTGCGTCTCAAAGCCGTCCCTTTCTGTCTTGGGGACATGTTGGTGTACTGAAAAGTACTATCAAGTTCTCTAGCAAAATCTGCTTCTCTGGTACTTTACCCTTTGGGGAAACCTTGAAAAGAAAAACAACAATAGAATTCTTTCCCCTTGGGGCCAGCTTTCTGTTTGTTTTCAATTTTCCCTTGGAGGCTTTTCCCTAAGGCTCTGGGGCCTTGGGAGAGAGCACTGCACTCCATGAGAAAGAAAAACACTTAGTCTCTCTCCCTAATGAGAGGGATCTTCAAATAGCTGATGGAAAACGCATTTTATGGGGGCCTGCGCTGTGGCACAGCAGGTTAATGCACTGGCCTGAAGTGCTGGCATC